CCATGGTAACAACCTCTGACTACATTTGCAGTGTTAACAACCTCTGATTACATCTGCCATGTGAACAACCTCTCACTTCATCTGTCATATTAACAACCTCTGACTACATCTGTAATGGTAAAAACCTCTCACTACATCTGTCATGGTAACAACCTCTGACTACATCTGTTAGGTTAACAACCTCTCACTTCATCTGTCATATTAACAACCTCTGACTACATCTGTAATGGTAACAACCTCTCACTACATCTGTCATGGTAACAACCTCTGACTACTTCTGTCATGGTAACAACCTCTGACTACATCTGTTAGGTTAACAACCTCTAACTACATCTGCCATGTTAAAAACATCTGACTACATCTGCCATGGTAACAACCTCTCACTACATCTGTCATGGTAACAACCTCTGACTTCATCTGTCATGGTAACAACCTTTGACTACATCTGTTATGTTAACAACCTCTAACTACATCTGCCATGTTAAAAACCTCTGACTACATCTGTTATGTTAACAACCTCTAACTACATCTGCCATGTTAAAAACCCCTGACTACATCTGCCATGTTAACAACCTCTCACTTCATCTGTCATATTAACAACCTCTGACTACATCTGTCATGTTAACAATCTCTGACTACATCTGTCATATTAACAACCTCTGACTACATCTGTCATGTTAACAATCTCTGACTCTATCTGCCATGTTAACAGCCTCTGACTACACTTGTCATGTAAATAAAGTCTGACTTCATTTATTATGTTATCAATTTCTGAATACACCTGCCATGTTAACAACCTTTGACATCAACAATCTCTGACTACATCTGTCATGCGTCTGATTTTTTATGACTTTGTCAACATTTGTTAAAAAGTGTGGGCCAGTTACCATTTATACAATTTTAAAATTCTTTTAAGTTATTCTATTTATTCGTTCAACAACCAACACTTTTTGATAAATCATAAAATCAAGTGACTACATGTTTTGCAAGTTTTTACCATTGATTGAAGCCTATGACAACCTTGCCCAAATTCATCAATTTATTAATTGACAGTGTACATTTTAGCTGAATTTAGCAGTACACATAGCAGCTAAGTGCTTGCCCATAGCCACTCCTCTTCGCAAATTACATCGCCATTGCTCGTCATCGAAATTCTGATCGCCGAATAGTAAACATTCATTTTGTATTGGATGTACATAACTAGAGACCGCCTTATTTCGCATATATGAAAAAATAAAACATATCTAGGTACATATATCTTTATATGTGACATCGATCAGGAATTATTGACATATTGACAATATTAGGTTGTAATTTCTTTCGGTAAATTCAAATTGTATCTTTAAACGACTGTTTCATCTTAACTATTCGTTTTATTGGATGTAAAACAAACGGTATGCATAGTTTAACATCTTTTACTTCTAAAACAGCATAAAATATCACAATATCATCACCTAATGCTGCAATAATACGACTTAAAAGATTATGGTACTAATATTCTTTGGTTTTTGGGCGCCATGCCTCGTCTTTACCATCACCCTTGAAATTAGGTCCGCTCACTAAGCATAGGGTGGTATTATTATTCAAATTATTATATTCTTCGGACTAACAAACAATTGTTAACCTCTCTATTCGGTCAACTGGCCAAAGTGTATACCTCAACAATAAACCCTGAGAGTACTGTTGACCTCGACCTCCGAACTTTCAAGGATTACAGTATCGGTATACAATTTTGCCAGTTGACCTCAAGAGAGGTCTACAATCGTATATTGTATATCCTTTGTTATCCCACCCAAAGTATGATGTCATATATCAAGTTGAAGAGTTGTATACGCTGCTTGGGAGTTTACGCTATCCAGGAGTTGTACATCGTTCTCAAGAGTTGTATAGGATAAGTGTTGGTTTAATGATATTGCAGTTATACAATGCTATTATATAAAGGTTATTTACTGAGAGGGATTCAATATTGGTTTTATTCCGAGAGACAATATGATATTTCCCGAGGACCCGGGATATCTGGGATAACTGTATCCCTATCAATTTACCTTTTTGGGCCCTTAATCTTATCACTTTTGTTTACCTTTTTACTCAGTCGGAGAGAAGGAATCCAAAGAGAGCAATAATTCTACATGTGCGTCGTGCAAGATTTCCATTAAACGTGTAACTAAACGGCCTCTCTAATAAAGTCAATTAGACGTTTTTACACGTTGGCTCTCCAAATTGGAGGAAATAAAGAATCATATCATATTATATCATAGATGAAGCAATCATCCCATCAACATAAGCTCACGAATGTCACAGTTAAACTGTTTTAGTTATAATTTGATAAACAGTAGTAACGTACATCTACTAGTTTATCACTGTTCCACAGATGGATGACAGATAATTTCCAATAGCTCATCATGTTTACCGAGAACGAAAGATGTTTGTCCACCATTTTGAATGATACTAACTGGAGTCAGGGTCATCAAGCTATGGAAAAGTGGTTTATGAAAATAGATTGGGTTACTTAAGCTTGCCATGTTAAAGGCAATTGAACTATGTTATAGAACAACGTCCAGTACATTATAATAATTAAAAGTATAAATTTTTGAAAATACATATAAAGGATCTTCGCCCGCAGGACGTGTATTTTGAATGCCTTGAGAAGAACGCAAATATGGGTGATGGGTAACGGTGTTGCAATAGTAGCATTTAAAAATCTGTTCCTCTCGAGATTTATGGTCTTCTGAAATTATACTATTAATTGGTGTTGCTGCATCATTGCTCAAATCTAGACGAGTGTTGTTGCATCTTCGGTTTGGTGTTGTTGCATCAATAGTGAGGAACTAAAACCGTGAATTTATTGCTTCTTGGTGATGGTACATGTATACTAACTGACTAATGACAGTTTCTTTAAATATAGATCGTGCGCTAACTGCACGTGTATGGTTATTGAGCAACTCGTCCTAGAAATGGGTTTAATTGGGGAAACAAAATATCGTATGAAAATCTATCACCGGAAGTCTGGCCATCTTGATGCAACAACACGGTGTTGTTGCATCACGATACTCCCCAGTGTAAGAGTAGATTGCAAATATTGTATCTTTTTTCTGATTCGAGCCTTGTAAAATTCAAAATGGCTGTCTAATGTACGATTTCGCAATGATTTTTCGATCCCTTCAAAGTATGGCTATATAATACTCAAATTGAAGGAATTTTGGAGTAGATAACAATTATGGTATTATTTTTCAGATTTGTACCTCAGAAAATTCAAAATGGATTTTTTCAAGATGGCCGCTGCTAAATGACGGGACTTTTTCGCAAAAATCATAAGTTTTCCATTCTTAACCAAAGTAATTAATATTATTGTTTGAAATTTTGGTAGTATATTTGCAACATCTATCTATTTCACATATATTCTGTGTTTTTCATCCTGACCCCCAGGGGCCGTGAATGGGAAAACAGAAATTTTCGCTAATTTGTAGATCTTTCTGAAGTATAGGTTTATTATACTCAAATGAAAGGCAATTAAGAGTAGATTGCAAATATTGTATCTTTTTTCTGACTCGAGCCTCGTGAAATTCAAAATGGCCGTCTTATGTACGATTTCGCAATCATTTTTCGATCCCTTCAACGTATGGTTATATAATACTCAAATTGAAGGAATTTTGGAGTAGATCACAATTATGGTATTATTTTTCAGATTTGTACCTCAGAAAATTCAAAATGGCTGCTTTGCAGGAATTCGCAATTCTAAAATCCAAATTTTTCAATTTTAACCAAAGTAATGAGTATAATTGATTGGAATTCGGTAATTGATATTTTGTTCGTTGGGATTTGCTACTCCGCGGAGTTGCCATTATCTAGTTGATCTTTTTGAAAGGCTGTAGACCTGAACATTCAAAGTCACAATTCTAGAAATATTCATACCTATAGACTATAAAGAAATGCAATCTTTAACTAATAATTCATTGAATATTTTGAAATCACCCTTTTAAATGAGCTTCATAACCCTATACATAGTGATCACACCAATTTCGAATAGTAGTAAAGACGAGCCACGATGACTAAAGTTGACTTTTTCTAACCAGCTTAGCAGTAATTTCATCGAAATTTTGATCTCAGGTAAACATGCAATTTGCATTGGATATACTCGTATATATGATTATAGACCGCGTTGTTTCACATGTATGAAGAAATAAAACATATCTGTGTACATATATAAGGGTTATGTACTGGGAGGTTTTGGATATGGGGTTTATCCAGAGGGAGATATGCATATCTACCTGAGGGACCATAGGGACCGAAGGTAGATGTGCATACCTCACGAGGGATGAACCCAATATCCAAACCAACCGTACATAACTGCTTTATCCTATACCAAGTAGAGTTTTCTAATTTTCTTTCAATATTTTTTCACTTTTTTTATTTTTTCAATTTTTTTCACATTTTTCAATTTTTTTTCAATTTTTCAATTTTCTTTCACATTTTTTCTTTTTTTTCAATTTTTCTTATTTTTTCATTTTTTACGAAGCGGGAAGATATGCCCTGGAGCGGGAGATATGGCGGGAGATATGGAGGTTCAGGATATGGAAACCTCAAAATCAGGATACAGGATATATCTTACCAACTTATCTCCCTAAAACTCTACTTGGCATAGGATAAACCTCTTTATGCCTCGTCGATTAGGAATTATCGACATTTTGACAATATTAGATCATAATTTATTGCGGTGAATTCAAAGTGTATATTCTAACATCTGTTTTATCTTTACTATGCGTTTAATTACATTGAAAACACATGGCATGCATAATTTAATATCTTCCACGTCTAAAACAGCATAGAATCTGAAATAATCATCACAGAGTGCTAAAGAAATATGACTTACGAAATACGAAAATACAAAATACAAAAAATTATAATACTAATCTTTTTTGGTTTTTAGTCATTGTGGCTCATCTTTACCACTACAAACACAGTTTTCATGTAATGTTAAGTTGTTTTAACTTTATTTGTAGTGGTAATGGATGTGTTGAAGGCATAGTACAGAGATTGAAGACATATGAAGAGCCTCTCTTACCACATGAAATTAAGGTACAAACAGGTTAAATTATATAAATGTAAAAGATCCCATGACATGTATACATGTGAACATTTTGTCATGCTTTAACTGATTTAATAATGATGGAACTCAAATGGTCTTATTAACCATGAAGCTGGGCATAAACAACTGTGCATAACACTAAACTTTAGACAGACTTATTGGATATTAGGGGGTTTAAGCTTGCAATATTTTTCACAATCTAAATATATAAGCAATGTATTTGTATGGGCGATTGGTCATATGTATAGGTTGGTGTTTCGATTTTATATGGAAGCTTAAACTCCCTAGTAATAAAAAGTTATGAATGAATCCATTTCTATTCAAGTTTTGGGAAGTTTTTGCATCCTTTACCATGTTATTGTTTCTGAGTTGGCCACTTTGAAGAAAGCCTAGTAACAAAATACTGGCACTTCAACGATTCGAGGCTTCCTCTGTTAAATCTGGTAATCTGGCGTTGAGTATATGTAACCAGTGCTAAAAGAAATTTTATTTTTCCCTGTGTTTCCAGTTTTATGACATGAGAATGCTGTTTTTGCTGACAGCCTTGAATGCAGACATCAGGTAAATTCATTAATCATCTATTGTCATGGTCATTTTCAGTGTTTTTCTTCTTAATAGACAGGATAAAATGTACCTAATATTTATGTTAAAGAGTTTTGTTTATTTTCAGACCTAAGGTTCGTTACGAGTTACATGGACTGACTTACCTCATAGAAGTATTGGATCTCATACTGAAAAGTTCTGACACACAAGCTACGGCAGCCCTGTCTGACCAAGATGTGGGACTGTGCTGTGAGATTCTGAAGATCCTCTTCAATCTTACTGTTACCATGGATAGAAATAACCTTGATGAGGTATCTGTCACAAAGTTTTAAAACTAGACCCAGTATGGTAATTGTATAGCAATTAAAAACAAACCCATTTATTTCATACAAAGTTAGACAACAAGTCACCATTAGGCATTGATTTTAACAGGTATTGAGATGAGCTATATTACGTCATTTGGCTGTGAAATGGACTTTACTCATCAAATTGTCAACATTGAACTGCATGTTCAATTATTTTAAAGCATACATGTAACCCTAAAAGCTTACCACAAATCACAAATACCTACTTCCTTTTCAACTTGTAATAATCAATGTTCCTCCCAATTGAAAATTTATAAATCATGTGCCACCCATTTGAAAATAATCGTAGAAAGGTGCCAGTAATATAGCATTGATGATTCAAAGGATTACTGTTATGTTAAAGGAAGAAGAGGCCCACTTCATGCGCCTTGTCAGTGTTCTCCACAACCTCCTACTCTCTAAGACAGTCAGCAAGGAGAAGCAAGAAGATCTGCAAAGGTATCATATGTTTACATATATACAACTACTCTAATCTTGCCTTGATAAAGGAACACAATTACTGCACCAATCATTTCATAATTCTGGCTTATAATAGTCTTACATACTGTATATGTACATTGAATTAACTGGTGAATTAACTGACAGTGAAATAAGTCTGATTTTGCTAGATGAGCTCCTCAGAATTCATAGAGAACCTAATATAAGTATAAACTGCCTTTGAGCACTGGCAAATTCATATGTACTTTTGTTCCAGTCATACAGTGAACTTGTTAACAAACATGCCTAAGGATTGCTATGAAGAGCTGCTGTCTCCGGTGACAGAGGGTGTGTCTGCAGGTCTGGACAACAAGGACATAGAATATGATGGCAAAAGTATGGAGTCAATAGTAGCTTTGCTGGCTTTTCTCGATTACAGATTAGAAAAGGTAGTTTGTTGTTAATGTTGATGTAAATACCCCATTTAAAGTTTAGACTATGTTGGCTTGTATAGAGGTATTTGGAAAATACCTCTCATACCTTTCATATTTCATCTTTTTTAAAATGTTTGAATAATAATAGATAACTTTGCATGGGGCCTTCGTGTGACTTCAGGGAACATAGTAATAATATTAATAAGTAATTGTAGAAGGAGGAGATAAAGCCCCACTTTTGTAAGCTTTGCTTAATATTGAATTACATTTCCTCAGCCTAAAAAGATTCTGAAGGAGGCATTGACCCCCATCCTGCATTGCATGTGTGAGATGTGCAGGGCCAATAGGAGCATACGCAAGTTCTGCCGCACCAAGGTGCTACCACCATTAAGGAAGGAAGTCTTGAATCTGCCAGAGGAGGGCCCTGCTATAAGGAATAAGTAAGCTTTCTCAAATAATAGTATACATGTAGTAGCACATAGTGCATCATACACAGAATACAATAACACTTAAAACACATGTGTATACAAAGTGTTTACAATACATATTCAAATATGCAATGCAATGAAAGTTTTCCTGAGACGTTAACCTATGTTTATTGTGTATAAGTGTTTTCTTTAGTAGTTTTCTTGATAATGCAGATGAATGCTAAAAATCATGAAACGAACACATTGTTCTTATTGTTGAACAAAGAGTGCACTTATGTGCCTAGAAAGGCTGTAAAGATTTGTTTTTGTTGTAAAATGTATGATGTAGACAATGTGGGAAAGGAGTGATTCCTATTTGAAAAATAACATGTAACTCAATTGAGGAATGCAGCAAAATTCCAAACAAGCAGACTTACCTTAAGCTTTATTTTAAACTGAAAATAACATTAGGAAAGTATTTATGCACTTCTCAAACCCCTGATTTTGTGTACATTTGGATCGGTATTCATACCTTGACCCTCTAAGTTCATTTATATATTACTGAAAATGTATTATCTTTTGTGTTCAGGTTGTGCCAGTTGCTGACTAGTCCTATAACAGAAGTTAAGGAATTAGTAGCAGATTTCCTCTTTGTACTGTGCAAAGAAAATGGTAGGTTTTAACATAATCAGGTCAACTGTAATCAACTCCTACAACTCATAATGTGATGATTTTGTTGAAATTCTATGTATGTGCAAATATTTAAAAGTGTAACACATTATCATTTGGCAGAATTATGGTAGCCATTTTATATGGGTTCAGTTAAATCTTTATAATATACCTTGAAATATAATGGAGTGATTTCATGATACACTGTAAATCACTTTAATTCGACACCCGTTTTAATTTGGCGGACTGATAAAAACAGCCAAATTAAGTCTGCCAATTTAAAAAAAATGAAATTCCCAAGGATTTTCTTCCAGTGCCTTTTTATGTTACCTTGCACGATAAAACTTTGGTGATAATCTTGACTGGATCATGGATAAAATGTCAATTTTAAACTATTTCCGAAGACCTAGTCCCCCTGGTTTAGATAAAACAATCTGATACCAGAAGAGATCAATGCGTTATTGATGGCGAGCTGTGAAGTGAGTAATATGATTGATGATGGCCCAATCTGGAAAAAAAAGGAAATAATTTTGTTACAAAAAATCTGCAAAATATTATATCTTTTTTTATCGCACCCTAAGGTGCTATATTGTAATCAGTTTGCCGGGCGGTTGGGCGGGCGGGCATCCCGAATAATCTTGTCTACAGGTTTTTCATTTTTTTCATTTTCTGCCATTTTAGCCATCATTCCCTTTTGAGCAACACCATGTGAGCCTAGTACCCACGGTACTATTTATTTTGGTGATGTGTTTCATGTTTCTCATGATTTCATACTCAATACTGTCCGCCATAAAGTTTTTGTGAATTGTCAAATTTGTACGAAACGAAATCATCGCACATTAAATTATTGCCATTACACAGTATGAAATATAAAAAAAACAATTATGAATCAGTTATTAAGTGTATTTTTCACATACGAGGGGTGATCAATAAGTAATGGACGCTTTTTTACACAGATGCTTTTTATAGACCAATCCCTTTGATTTTCTTACCAGTGATACGTCATTCAATTATCTATTAACTCTGAAGATTTGAAAACAAAACATGTAATATATTTTGATATCTCTTTATTTCCGTGAAGGATGTGTAGGTACCCCGGGACCTACATTTACCTCAAACATTCTGAAGCTATTTTAGCTTGTTTAACATGCAATGCAGTTGAATGCAGGCTGAACAAAACAAACCATTATGGTCATGAATTACCCCATTTTGTTATGTCATAGTTGATTTTGAATATTTTATCATCACTATGTGGTATTCATGCCACATTCATTCCACAGGTCCCTCTACATAGGTTCCATCAAGTGCTACATGTACACAATTACTCATCCTCTTTACTCAATATTGTGAGACAAGGCTGAATCCATTCTCTGGTAGCAAGATGCAGTTGCACGGGTTGTTTTATTTCATCAATGTCAATAAACCTGCATCCTTTCTCTATAGAAATAAGTAGTATAGAAATAAATAAGTCACATGTGAGCAGATCTGCACAATATGGTGCATTGGCCAAGAGCTCAATTTTGAGGTCCAGGTATATTGTTTTCTGAACATTTTGAGATCTGTGGGCAGGTGCATTGTCCATATGGAGTAGGGTGTTCCCTTCTCTCACCACCCCTTTCTTCCACAATGCTTTCTCAAATTGACCTGCAAACCCCTTCCATACAACACTCTGACATCACAATACTTTCTGTTTATGTGTTACCAGTCAGCAAAAAATGTCAAACAACACAAGACTTGTTGCATATAAAAAGTTCAAATCTAACTGAAATTTGCCAATTTGGCTAAAAACTGAATATGTGACGTAAATGTCGGTCCCAGGGTACCTGTACCTCCTTCACGGAAATAAGGATATATCAACATATATTATATATTTTGTCTTCAAATCTTCAGAATTGATAGATAATTGAATGACGTATCACTGGTAGGAAAATCAAAGGGAATGGTCTATAAAAAGTATCTGTGTAAAAAAGTGTCCATTACTTATTGATCACCCCTCGTATAAAACAACTTTAACAACATATATTTTCAATATTTAAACATATATTTATTGATTTCGTTTCATCCAGTTCGCTATATAGCGAGTTGGTGTGTGTTCTTCAGTGAAAACAAATAGTTCCGAAAAATTCGGAATATGAGAAAGCAATATATGTATGAAAATGATTTTGCTGTGCATTTAATTTTTGATAAATGCATGGACTGAGCAGTACTATTCTTTAAAAAGGGGTGACTGCATATCATTTGTGTGTTCATTTTAGTCAATGCAATGATTTTCTAACTAAGCTTTCACAATTCTTCTGCATCAAGTTAATTATTTCATTTTCTATAATATTTTGACAAACAAAACCTTCTCAATAGTTTTCACCCCTATTAAGTATTTCTAAATAACTAGAGGTTTAAGATTGCAAGCAATCTTACGGAGGCCCCGTAGGCTTTTTTTTTAACATTTAAAGGTCAGCAAAAGGTCAAATCTTAAATACAAGGTCATATATGAACTCCAGGCATCTTGTAGATGATTTTAAAAAAAAGTTTGGTCAATTTCAAGCAATGTGAAATTTGACCTTGAAAAATGTCAACATTAGACCTTTTTCAGTTTTTGAGGTCCAATATCTCAAAACTGGTGCAGAATTTTAATAGATAATCAATTGTTAATATGTGTAAAACCTTTAGAGGAATATATATCCTGACTTTAATTTAGACTACAAAATTGATTTGTAGTCTCCAGTTTTGAGAAACTTAGAAAACACAGTTTGTGATTTCGTTTGATGACCTTGACCTTTGACCTTGCAAATTTTACTTTTTAGATCTCAGAAGGTATTTTTTGAATAAATATACCTAAATTTGAATCCAGAAAATCGATTTGAAAAATCAACTTTTTTGACCTTTCGGAGGTCACTGAAGGTCAACCGAAGGTCAAAGGTCAAAAGTAAGGTCAGATTTGGAATCCTGAGAACTTGTAGATGAGTTTTTAAAAAAATTTGGTCAATTTGAAGCAAGTTGAAAAAAGACCTTTTTTTACTTTTTTTTACCTTCAATATCTCAAAATCTAGGCAAAATTTCTCTAGACGGCAAAAGGCTAAGACTAATAGAATACTAATATCTATCTGTATGCAAAAATTCAGCGAAAAATATTGAAGTGTAGTGTCAGGATTTGAGAAACTTGAAAAAAACTTAGATTTGACCTAGATTTTGACCTTGACCTAGATATGAACTAATTTCCCGTCAAGTCCAGCCCAGGTCCCTAATAGGACTATATATGAGATAAGTCAAAGCTAGCTGGAAGTTGGAGAAAAAATGTTAAAAAGAATAATAAATAAATAAAGAAAGAAAGAAAGAAAGAAAGAAGAATAACTACAAAAATGATAGGAGGCCTCTTGAAGGGCCTCCTAATAAACTTGTCCATAATCTAAAAACATTTAATTTCTTCACAGACAACAATCTTGTAGATGTAAATGGTGAACTGTACTTCATCATTGACCAGAGTCATGTTTGAATAGCAATAAAGAATCATGTATCATTCTATATTGGAAATATAAAAGCATGAGTGTAATGTACTAACCCATTCTGATAATGCACTCAGGCTTCACCTTCTTGCATTATGTAGATGGGTTAGTACATACACTCATGCTTCTATATTGGAAATATAGAAAACTTGTCTTAGATTCACTACTGATTCCTCTTGACAGACATCATTTCAAGCTTTAAAGTTCAAGATTGCCCGATTCTTCTAGCCATCTACAAGCAGGTACCACCAGAGTAATATGATTGCAATCCCACTGTTTTAGTTGGTCGGCTCGTGAAGTACACTGGTTATGGGAATGCTGCAGGTCTGCTGGCCTCAAGAGGGTTAATGTGTGGAGGACGTGGAGATGGTGAATACTCAAGCGCATCTGATGAATCTGATACTGAAGATTATGACAGACTTAAGCCCAAGTAAGAAAGACTGCAGTGTGATGATGAAAACCGGCATTCTAATGTCAGATGGGAGCATTAAAACATTAGATAGATATATAAATATTTTTTAAAAGCTTGAAATTGTTTACATACACAGGCTTCGGTATTTTCAGAGAATGTTTCTTGTCCATCAATTTATATCAATTATTATTTTATGTGGCAGGTTGCTATGAATTTATTTTTTGTGAAGTGGTGTAAAGGTATCATATGAAGGAAATTCTGAGGAAATTCCTGTAAAATACTGCAAAAATGGAAGAAAACAGTAAAACATGTGAAGTGGTAATATTTTAGGGTTAATCCGGTGACTGGCAGGTTTGAGGAGGAGAAGATTGACCCCATGGCAGGTATGACTGAAGAACAGAAGGAGTATGAAGCAATGAAGCTAGTCCAGTGTCTTGACAAACTACACAAGTAAGTCACAATCACATGGTGTTCCATGGTTCAATTAACAAATAGGCCTTGATAATTAACCATTTAAGTTTTTTTTATGTCACCACCAAAAAGTGGTGACATATTGTTATGGTCTCCGTTTTTTGTGACAGCAGTTTGTGGTTGGTGATCGGTTGGAGGTGGTTGGTGGTTGGCAATCAGAGGGTGGCGTCTGTAACAAATTGTTAAAACTTACAATAACTTAACAAATTCTGTTTAGACTGACTTCAGTTTTTTTCAAAATCGTCTCAAGTTTTCAATCTTCTCAAGGTCAAAAAAGGTATTTTTAACTTGCTTCAAATTGACCAATTCTTTTTTCAAAATCATCTACAAAATTTCAGAAATTCAAATCTGACTTAAGATTGAACTTATAATATTTTGAGCAACTAGGTGGTGACATTTTGCCTTGTTTATCTTTTTGGTTTGATGCCTTGAGACTTATATAGTGTCAGATGTGTCATTTCTTTTTATATGTGGCATTTCTTTATTCTGTTATAAAAATGAGTTATTTTGTGAAATACAAACATTATCTTACAGCAGTTCATCTAGTATGTTGACTCATTTGGCAATCTTGTCTTACACATAAACAAAATGTTATGTGGGGATTTGCCACACCTTGGTGTTGCCATTATCAAGCTACACAAGTGTGTGCTTTCAGGACTGGGATTATTCAACCATCTACTATAGGAGAAGATGGTAAACCAAGGGCGGTAGAACACATCCTGGAGTTAACAGAGGGGATCAACATACAACCTGAAAACAATTCAGACTCTGACTCTTAATTTACCAGTATTAGAAGCACTCCTGTCAGTGCTAGGTAGCTATGTGTCCCTTGTGTCTGCTGTCTGCAAGCCTAGCTTGTACTGGATGTATCTTTGAGGGGAGCTTAATCACTCTAGTCCTTATGCAGCTTTAAAGTTAAAAAACTTTATAGACAGTTTTAAACTTGATGACTTAACCTTTCAGGTCCCCAACCAATAGTGTTGGATCATATTGTCATCCAAGGCACATCTGGATGACTGTACTCACATTTATAATGCATATTTCTGAATATATGTTCTAAAATCTTGTCCGTTAAATCTTGTCTAGAAGTCTTCAGCCAAACCATTTGATTGATGGGTTTTAGATTTACTGATTCTTTTATATTAAATTCATGGATGCTTCTTGGTATGAAAACTGAATTAAATTTGATTTTGGCAGTGCCAGAAAGATTTAAAGTCATCTATTTTGGTTGTCTGTTTAGGTCTTGTCTACATTAATAAACACATCTGTAAGGATGAGAATGTACATGGTAAAATGTTAAACTAGGCTAAAATGAAATGAATCATTGAATTGTCTGACAGATATTAGACACAGGAGTAGACTTCAGGTTCTACTAAAACTGTGGTGTTGTTGAAGAGACTGCATGAATGCACATTATTTATGTTTTAGTATTTGAGTATTTATTGTGCTATAATGTAATTTGGGAAAATCTGAACCAGTTGCTTCTTTTTGTTCAATTGCTGTAAAAAAAACATTGAACTTCTATTGGGTAATAGGAGCAATTTTTTTTCAAAATTGGAAAATTATCAGCTTGTCCAATGGTGCAGGTACATGAGGTAGCTAATTTGGAAAATTTGGCCCATCTTAACTTTCTTTGGCTGTTTGGTTTCATAAAAACATTGTGCTATTTGTATGTTTTATTGTTAGATTATAATCAGAATGTTCATACCATATTATAGGAGGTTTTGAATCCTCACAAATGTGCAATACTACAAGGCATTGGGACAGTGATAATAATATGTGTAATATTCCTTTAACAACAATGAATGTCCAGTTGCTCCTTGAGGAATGTTCATTAACAAAACAAGTTTATTCATGTTTTACAAAAATGTGATTGTTCATGTACAAAAATGTAATTGTTCAAGTACAAAAATGTGATTGTTCATGTACAAACATGTGATTGTTCATCTACAAACATGTGATTGTTCATGTACAAAAATGTATTTGTTCAAGTACAAAAATGTGATTGTTCATGTACAAACATGTGATTGTTCATCTACAAACATGTGATTGTTCATCTACAAAAATGTGATTGTTCATCTACAAACATGTGATTGTTCATCTACAAAAATGTGATTGTTCATGTACAAAAATGTATTTGTTCAAGTACAAAAATGTGATTGTTCATGTACAAACATGTGATTGTTCATCTACAAACATGTGATTGTTCATCTACAAAAAATGTGATTGTTCAACATCATAACATGGAATCAATCTATAAAAGAATTTGTCAGGAGCACATTTATTGAAAAGATACTGTGTAGTTGGGGAAATGTCATTTCAATTTCATTGAATTTAAATATTTGGATTTTGAGCTATGCTTTCTTCCAAAATATCTTCACATAAATTTATGAAAAATATCATTTCATAAATATTATTATTTGTTGATCATTGTAGTGAAAATTACTTAAAAATTCTCAGGTGGATCTACCTTAAAATGAAAAATCTAGAATGGCCATCTTCAATTTTACCCAGCATGCCTGAAAACAAATCATTTCAAGATATTCACACAGTAATGCATCCATGAAAATTACAAATAAAATGATTTGTCTGAAAATGCACAGACAAGCTTTTATTATCATGAATATCTGCAACTGCTCTAGATTTTTAGGCATGCTGGGTAAGTTAAAGGTAGCGCTTCTTAATTTTACACCCTAAAATGCAATGCCCTTATCTATAATTACAAAGAAATAAACATGACATTGTCACTTCAGCTCAGATTATTCAGTATACTCGTATATGTTCAGAATACACATAAAGGATATCCTTTGCTTTTCTATAAGTAGATATCAATCTCTTTGAGCAAGTGGATAAAAATTATAGTCAAGGCAGATGAAATGATATGATATTTGTCCTGTGGACTGGACTAATGTCATGTGTTAATACCTCACCATAACATCAAGAAATATTTAAAAACCTCAACATGAACTTTTGAACTGAAAAAGATATTTGGAAACAATTGGTAATGAGTCAATGAAGATTGTGTTTTTTACAGTTTTACAATTCGCATGAAGTTTTTTCATATACAAGTCATCGATGACAGATAACACTATAGAATGTGAACCAACGGTGAATAATATAAGAAGATATTTCATTCTATTTTTGTGTCACTTTCAAAAAATATTCCCTTTTGAAAGATGCACAAGTACTTCCCTCAACAGATTGAAATGTTTTATATCATGTTTATCACCCTATTGTTATTCAGTGATGGTGAAATTTTTGAATCATACTTCTACATCACTGGATACAGCATATCACTCTTTGACATCTAGGCTATACTTTTTCTAATTTCTTGTAAAGTATTTACTCAAATCATTGAGTCACTTTTATTATTATCTCCCTGTCAGACTCGCAATTGTATGTTTCATCAAAACTTGGTCACATGACATGAAAGATCAGGTGATTTACACTCGTCATGCTTCTCAAATTAACAGCCGGTGAATTGAAGCTGAAGCAAAATTCTTGTAGATCTAGATTATAATCACAGCTGATATACAATATAGGTTTTAACAGATTGAAACATACATTATGTATTTAAATGTATTCAACAATTTTTAACATTGAACTTTTATTTTCTGTTCTATTTTCGGTGAATACCTGTTGCACTTTCACAAGATCATATTCTACTATCACTCATGGAATATCACTTGTGAAAGACATGGGTATTCACTGCAGTAGAATGAAATATTTTGACAATATTTTCAAGGGTGCAATATTGTTCACCTCTGTCTCGTTGATAAGATGGCATGGCTCATCCACAATGAGTAAATGAGAATCAGTAATCTGAATTTTTATATTCTTGAATATTGTACATTGCAATACATTTTGCTAAATATTGATTTATGCTGTGGGTAATTTGGTGAAAAAATGCCATTAATAGCTGTTAGGGCCAACTAAATGTAGAATATGTGAAAATGAACATATTTCAATGCAAATTGCAGTATTATAACTGTATAATAATAAGGCCTTGTGTTCTCTTTTGGTGGCTATCTTGCCCCATACTCCCTTGCATTAAAAGATATATATATATATATATTGTATTTATTTGCTATGTAGCCTACATCTAATGTGTTGTACAGAATATTGTGGATCTCCATTATTGTGATAGAACAATAAAAGTATAAATGTCTAAGAACGAATATTTTTGTTGCTCAAACAAATCAAAACATAAAGGATTATATTTAAGTGCGTGTTCCGTTGTGATTAAAAATGTCTTGCAACACATTAAGTATAGCATTGGAAAGCATCCGTCTGTCATTCTGTCTGGAAGATAACTTGAATATGACGGGAATATTTTGCAAATATCCTAAGTTTTTAATTTTAAAACAAAGTAAAAAATATCATTGTTTGTTAGTATATTGAAACATCTATTTTACATACCAATGTTGTAAAGAAAAAAGGTGCGAGGTCCTTTATCAATCACACCTTTTTCATTTTTCATTGATATCTAATAGAAAGGTAAGACTATTTTCTTGATAGGTATTTCTTGAAATCCCAAATTTCGGTCTCTAAAGTATTTGAAAGTCAGTTTAAGTTACAGAAACGGTATTTCGAAAAACAGCTAAGATCCAAACTTTTAACCCATACCGTTTCTGTAACTTAAGTGAGGAATTAAATCGACGATTCTGTTGTCTTCTGAGCTATTTTCGCAAACATGTACATTTTCTAAAACATATGATACTGATTCACGTTTGTGTGAAAAATGTCGCGGGGATTCTGCCTACAACGCGTGCAGTAAGGAAAAAAGAAAAATCGTACCTTCGACGTTCTGACATTTTGTTACCGAAACGAACCGTTTAGGTAACCAGCGTAATCACCAGATCACCAGTGAGGATGTCTTTTGAAGAGTGATAAATTAACATGGGGGGGTGGTGCCATGATTGACTCTCAGTGACCCACTTAAACCGGTCGATTGCTGGTTAACTATTACACTCAGAACTTTGAAATATTTTCAAAGAATAAAAATATTACATGTACTTACCGTTCCGGTATGATTAAAAATAATTCGTCAGACATTCAACACACCACTGAAAAGCTTATCTTGCGTCCTTTAATCTTGTTTATACTGAAATTAAATAAAACTTTAGGGACTAAGAAATCAAGCGGTGCCAACTAGGTGTTTGAAAATCAAGGATTTTGAGCCTCATATTGCACCCAGCTGTGCTTCTTACAGCTGGGGACCCAAACACTGATAAAATGAGGGACTCTGTACAATAAAGCAATGCACCGACAGAAAGGCATTTTTGTTATGCTTTGAATGGAACAAGTTTGTAGAAAAACGTTGCAGTATGAGACTTACAATCCTTGATCTGGCCGGTAGCATGGGTAGGTCTACAATTAAAATGAACGGTTGTTTTCGTGTATAGTCGAACGATAGTTCGACCCCGTGGAAAAGTGAAACGCATAAATCGTCTAGTAATAGATGAACAAATTATAAGTGGAACTTATGAGTCGGCGCTCACACCATTCCAAACACCATTCCACTTACACACCATTCCAAATGCTTGGCAACCCTTACCCTAACTCATCGGTTTCTAATTAAGTCAAAGTTATTTTTGAAAACACCTCTCTCGCCGACAAAACAGTATGAAAAATTATTTTAGAAAATACTTCCAAGCTACATGAAACTTACCTCAAACCCAACGCTATTTGGTTCAGCGTGTATAAGAAAGAGTTAGGCATTCAAATTTTGGAAGGCAGGGTATTCTAAATACGAATGTCCCGTTTTCAGTATTTTAACTACCGACCGGTCAGTCTTTTACAGTTTCTTTTCAAACTCATATTTGGAACATACAAATTTCCATTACTTGGCAAAAAAGTCAAATGGAGTATTTGTTTTTCACTCTAAAGTGCAACTTGGTGAAAATCAAGTTCCGGCGTTAATTAATTAAAGCTCAGTCTTTTATTTCTGTTACCTTGGAGGAGCGGATTTACCAAGTGGAAGCTTTTGCCAAGGGGGGGGGGGGGCTTTATGACAGTTTTGGGCAAAAAATCATGCGAAAAGTGCTCAGAATGGTGAAAAACTGCAATATTTTGAAAGAATTTCGGGCCAGGGGGGGGAGCGACTGCTCCCTGCGCTCCCCCCCCCCCCCCCTGGCTACGGGCCTGCAGTTGAGACTTTGAGCAATGCACATAGATTCGAACGGGAAACCTGTACGTATAAATCGCCGTATACAAATGCATATAGTTTTTTCAAATAAAACAATAGTCACATTTCCTACGGCGACCGTGCGGTCTATCAATTCTGCGGTCAGTAACATTTCTACGCTCGCCGTGGAATTTCTGCGGTCGGATACTTTTGCAGTCACATTTCCTACGACATACCCCTGCTCTGAAGTCTATATTATTAGATTCGAACATGAAAACTCAACAAAATGTTCCGAATATTCATTATGGTCCGCCATTACTACGACCCGCCGTTAGACGTCACACATTACACGTATTATCAGGGGTATTCTTCGCGAATATACCCCGGTGAAATGTTGACTTAGTTTACAGTTTATAGAAGGCGTGAATACAGTCATGTTCGAATAATTTGCCCCTGGGATCGTGATGTAATCGATTACTCACAAACAGACTCGACCATCAAAGAATGTTAGACTTATTAGTCATGTTCCCAAGATATCAAGACACTTAAGAATATTGACCGAAGAGCAGGCGTTATATCGACGAATACAGACCGCAGGGCTAGGCACAAACGTTTTCTCTTTCTTTTTCTTTGAAGGCAAAATTGTGTCTAGCCCTAAGTTCTGTATTCGTTGATATAACGATTACGATTCGAACATGAAAATTCACCAAAAATGTTTCAAATATTCATTATGGTCCGCCATTACTACAGCCTGGCGTTACGACGTCACACATTACTCGTATTACCAGGGGTATTGTTCGCGAATATAGCCCGGTTGAAATATTGACTTTGTTCACAGCTTGGGATAAAATTTAGTATTCCCAGGGCATGATAACACAATATCAGTCTCATGGAATTTTCTGATAGTTCTGATATGGGATTTTGGCTGATACGGGAATCCGATCCAATATGGGATCTGATACGGGATTTTGACTGATACGGGATCTGATACGGGATTTTTTGAATATGTCTAAGCTTATCTTTCAAAAAAAGATATTCCACAAAGCCCTAGGCACGGGTGGGATATCATTTTATGACCTAAAATGTGACATTGATTCGCAGATTCACAGCCAGTTGTTCCTTTGGTAGAGGTGTAGGTGAAAATGTCGAATATATTTACATCAGCAGATCAGGAGGAAATTCTTACAGAGATTCGTGTATTGATTCGGGTTGATTGAGGCGAATGACGTCATGTTTAACTTGGCAACTGTTGGCAAGTTTTGAAACACGTTGCATACCGGGAACAATGCTTGCTGAGGACGCACATGGATTCCATCATTCCCGGTATCGAAAAACAAGCTGTCAACCGTTCTTGGAAACATAGCAACAACAAAACGAAAGACTCAACATGGCCATGGAAAGATTAACATTGCCGAAGAAGCCAATATTGCATTTTGGGGATGGCAGTTTGTCGGCAGCAAAACTACCAACTGTTCCAGATGGTGCACCGCCGACGTGGTGTGCGCTGCCTTTGGATGCTAAACTCCCGATGATCCCTGCACCCAAAGGAGCAATAGTCTTGTACACCACAAACCTTTGTGAAATGGTAAGCAGATATTGGTTATATCAAAATGAAGAGACGGTGAAATAATCATATCGATATCCACTCACTTCACAATTGTTCTGGGATATTTAATTCATGCCATCTTCAAAGTGAGCTGATAGTTTGCTTGCAGCGAGAAGACGGACCGGTTCGGGGCAATCTGCTTGTAGCGAGAAGACGGACCGGTTCGGGGCAATAGCTGATGAAATTCTTTGTCACAAAGTTTGGCATTTTTTATAAAATCAAACGCGCGTCATTGAAACTCACAAGATGTAAATAGCATGTCATTTACATCATACCTTGATGGGGAAAAATAGATCTTATATGTTAGAAGTACTATATAAAAGTTATCGTGAAAATGAGACAGTCGTTCTCGAGAGAAAAGAGCATAAATGCGCATTTAGAGAGTTTTGGTCCGTTTTAAAATCTGTAAAAAATTGGGGTACTTAAAAGCATCGGGACGCATAATATATTTCAACTTAGACACGAGGAAGTCAATATTGAGCAAGTTATGGCTATTTTAAATTCAAATAAAACCGTTAACCCGTACCGGTCCAGCTTTTGACCCGTACCGGTCAATTTTCGTTAGCTGCGTATACCAAGGGTGTTAGTAGGCTATGGAAACAACAGACCAAAAACATGACAAAAGTCAAATAACATAGCACCGCGAGTTTTTAAAGTCGTATTTGTCACGCGGTACTAACTTCGATCTTTAATTTGAATTTTTGATCTACTGATGTACCGACAGGAAGTCAATTTTGTTTTGGTTTGAATGGAACAAGTTTGAAGTAAAACGATGCAGTATGAGTTAATTTTCAAATATCTGGTAGGTCAAAAATCTAAATTAACGGTCGAAGTTAGTACCGTGTGTTTGTAAAGGCCTAGTAAGCTACTACTTTTAGATTCCATGCTTTATCATGTATAGGTGGATTAGTTTTCAATGTAATCAAATGTGTAATGTAACGGAACATAGGTCTATGTAATTTCTCCTGAAATTAGAAACCAGTGTTGTATAATTCACGATCAGAATATCGATGTAAGTAATGAGAGATGACTATGCAACATTTCCGTATCCATATGGTTTCCCTCTGCTCAGTTCGTATAGGGTGTAATTAATTTTAAATTGTACTATCATTTATTATCATACAGATCCATGTTAATGGAAAAGACCTCGACTTTGATCTGAATGATCCATGCGCTCATTACATGACGAATGAGTACAAACCATTACACGACCCTCATCTGAAATCAATGTTGACCACACCAACGATGCGTCGCCGACTATACAAGGCTGGCTTCATCACAAAGGATGGAAAAGTGAAATGTAATCTTCAAGAGTTCAATGAATATCGACTGTATCTTAGAAAGAAGATATTAGACCAACAAAAACAACTGCGAAGACGAAAGGTATCTAATGTAATGCCTCGATAACATTTGATCTACGGCAACCGTACGACGTCCGTAGCTTCCCAAAATCGAGGGAGATATGCAAGATAAAATATTGGGATAAGCAGTATGATTTTCTATATCGATTTTGTGAAGCTATGGAAACCGTAGACCAAATGTGATTGATGGTAAATACTACAGTATGATTTTCTATATCGATTTTGTGAAGTTCAAGCTACGTAAGCTATGGTCACCTATACCAAATGTGACTGATGCTTAAATACTGTAAGTAGGATTTTTTAGGGTAACGTTTTTGACAATTAATATCTCATCTTATACCATATCATATCTGAAGGAGGCCAGGAGGCCGTTTCTCGAAACTTCATACGTTGCTAACGAATCGTTAAAAGCGAATTGCGATACCGATGTAAACTTGTTCTATAATTACATCATTTTTTGGTCCTATCCCTTTGGTACTTGTGGAAATTCCTATAATTTGTATTCATATTTAATATGTAGGACCAGAGACATATAAAACATGTATCTACATGTTTTATATGTCTCTGGTTGGACCCGAACTAACAAAGTGGGGCTACCGATACAATGAAATCGTATTATATTTTCCAACGCCTAAAACAAGGAAACACGGTCGACTGACCCTTTTTGAATGTCCTTATTCTGCAAAGATATTCATTAAATATGCCAAAAGAACGTAATTTCCGTCTTTGAAAACATGTAATTTTATCACATACGGGCAGTATCAAATTGTTAAATCAGCATAGAAAATGTGTTTTAATGACTTACAGTTTGTTTAGATACCACATCGTTATATTACGAGACCCCCTAACCCTTTCGTTAAATCAGTCATGGATAACGAACAAATCGTTTAAAATCATGACGTCATCGCATATCGTTAAACTTTCGAGAAATGGAGAAATCGTTAACAACAATTGAATTAACGATTTGTTAATAAGGAAAATTTCGAGAAACTGCCTCCTGGGTCGTTAGATCGTGTTCAGGATATAAATGATATAAACCTTTCGACTATTTATTTTCATTTGGACTTTTTGACGTCTGCTTTGCGATTGATGATGACCCTTTGATTATCTTATTGACTTAATTTTCTTGTAATTTTTGTGTATTTTAACAACATCATCTTGTTGATCATCTATTGCTACACATATGATGCATTGGATTTTGTCTATTCATTTAGTCCATATCATTCGACATTGAAAACATAGTTTAAAGACAGACATCATGATACCATCCAAACAGGATTCCCATGCATTGTTTTTGATATGAATAAAATCTTCCACGTTTTTGTTTTTGGAGTATTATTAGCAAATTATGCAAATAATTGTGGTTTTTGAAAGTCAACACTAAGCTCCTCTCACCAAGCGGCGACAGAGCGCTGGCCAGCTGGAGATACTTACAACTTCATTCGTTTCGGTGCCTTGGCGTTGAGAATATTAGCTAACCACCAACCTCCCCACCAAAGCCATTTGTGCCATCTTTCATTTACATTCATTTACAAATGTAATTATTTTATATTCATATCAGTGCTTCAAGACATGAATTCATCTATCATGTATTTATCTATCTGATTTAGACCGTCATTGATTTTTCTAACGTCAAACATTCAGGTATCACACAGGTGTTGCATTCGGGTCGGATAACTGCGATCCAAGATAGGAGTTCGAGCGCACTATCTTATCCCGTTATCACCGATGCAAGGGTGCCCGCGAACGGCTTCCTTATGAAGATAAGGAAAAAATGACAGTTTTTATATTCTTTCTTGTAGGTAACTGGTCAATCAATCAGTCCCAATGATAACTGGTCCCCAGTTTTTCTCATAAGATGAATTGTAATGGACTGATTGATATGTGATGAAAATACGTTCATGCATGTCGATAAAATATTATACTAGGACAATCCGAGATATCATCTCACAGCATTCATTATGTTTTATTGAGAATGTTTTATTGTGAAATGCGTTTACATAGGATGTTGAAAACATATACGGGAGCGGCAAAAAATCTAGGAAATCTCGTTTAACTTACCACGCTAGCAGCAGCGACGACGATGAAGAAGGTGAACCCTATAACCTGTCTCATATCAGAGAGCAGAAAGCAAAAGAAGCAAAAGAACGTTTAAAAGCGCAAGAAGAGGCTGAGAAAGAGAAGTAAGTATATCAAGAGGATCAAGTGAATGTGATACATAATGATATAGTGTCTAAGTGAACTGCGTCTTAGAAGCGTCTTCTAAAATCTATAAATGACTGTCACAACAAATGCAACATATTTTCTGCTTTGTTAGAGTCGAGTGGCTTCGATTGTCTATCCATATATTTTTATGCATGAGAGACATGTTATAATGTTGGTGAACTAATGATTCTGTTAATTTCACCTGTTCACATCCAGTTCCTATCATGATTGAAAACTGACCGGGAGTAATTCTCTTCAAATTATTTACTCATTATGAACAGAAATTTAATATTTAAATCGCTTAGAAGGCGTAAATAAATGTCAATTTGACGTTCGATAAAAATCCGTCAATAATTTACTGATTACTTGCACATTTGAAGAGGTAAAACTTTCAGCAATCAACCGAGGATTTACAATTTTACATGTAAACTCAATTGCATTTGTTTTTCGCGGGAAAAAGTTTCAGTCATTGACGTCACAGATTTCTAAGCAGCTCATTAGAATATTCATGAGCTGACTTTGTGGAAAGGTCCTTTCCACAAAGTAAAGAAAATCGTTAGAAGGCAGAATCTTTCAAAAGTGACAAGAAAGACATTCATACTTTATGGTGGTTCATATAGATAGGCCTACACTTTGCAATGATGCCAATAATCACCCATTCTGTATTTGCAGATATTGTCAGATTCTAACTGATGATGAGAAAAGACAAGAGAGAATAAAACAAGAAAAGAAAGCATTTTTTGCTCAACTACAGCACGCCCAAATGACAGAGTTTGATAGGCGGGCTGAAATATTGAGAAAGAAAAAGGCTGATGTAAGTGGACTAAAGCCCGGTATACAGCAATGGGGGACCTCCATAGACTTAACATTACGTGGGACCTCGTGGGACCTTTTGGGATTTTGCCCCATGAAGTCCGTGGGACTCCATGGGACTTCGTGGGATTTTGCCCCATCTTGCCCCATCGAGTCCCATGAAGTCCCACGTGGGACTCGATGGGGCAAAATCCCACGGAGTCCCATGGAGTCCCATCGAGAATGAACATGTTCATTCTTTCCATGGGGCATCGTGGGATTTTCGATCATATGACGTGTTGTGTGAAGCCCGACATACACCAATGGGGTACGGTGGGATTTGATGGGACTCCATGGGGCACTATGGGGCAAAGTCATCAAGGTTCCATGAGACTTCGTGGGATTCGATGGGGCAAATTGGGATTCGATGGGGCAAGATGGGACTCGATGGGGCAAGTGGGATTTTACCCCATTGGTGTACACCGGGCTTAAGGAACGAACTAAATATATTTGTAAGGTTGTGATTAGTTAATATCTTAGTTTTCATAAATGCTGTTGACGTAGGTAGAATGGTAAATTGTTCACTGATTCCACGGGAAACTTTATTTTAGGATCGCAAACGAAAGTTGAAGATGGTGAAACGCTGGATACGAGAGGCAGAAGAGAGGGCTGTACGAGCAGAGAGACGTAAAAAGCAATACCACCATGAACAAAACAAGAAGGTACAATACACAAATAAAGCGTTTGGTCTCGCACTACTGGGACCGTAAACTGAATCATTATATGTAGCCATCCTATAATTCATCCAACTGCTCCGTTTCGATGGCAGATTGGACAATTGTAAATTAGCATTGTTGTTATGCTTGTAGTTAGAGATTGCCTGGGAGACTCGTCGCCGCCTGCAAGAGCAGCGTCTCAGAGATGAGGAGGAACGACGCAAAAAGAACGAGGCGCAACTGAAAAGGGAGGTTGAGAGAAGGAATAGACGAGTCAGAAAACAACGTACTGCGCTTAAAAGTATGAGAAATCATATTATATAAAGGTTCAGTATATCACAGATTAGTATTGTGACTTGGGTGTGTTTAGGAAAGCCATGCCCACATCAATAGTATGCTCTTGTATCTTATACACACTACAATATGACAAACTATAGTCAATATTATCCGATAGATACTAAATATATATGAGGATTACAACACAAGATAATTTTGGTATACGCCACTAAAATCGTATCCGATCCATATGACGTGATATCCAATCGTATCCGACGGACACTATTTAAAAAAAATTGAGAAAATTAATTAATTCGGGAAATAATCTTGCAGAAAAAATGTTGAAAATAAAAATTGAAAAAAGAAAAAAAATTGAAAAAATGGAAAAACATATTAATTTTGGATGTGAGCATATGATAATTGAATTCCTTTTCAGAGAAATTTGAAGAAAGAAAGACCATTGAGAGGCATAGACGGCAGGTGGTCGAAGAGAATTATACAAGACACTGGCAAAAGACAGTAGAGGGACTGACCAATCGGGAGAAAGAGGAGACTTATCGTCAAAGGAAAGGTATGAACTGTAGCGAATGATATATTAATGAATCGTTTATAGAATGAATCGTTTGAAAAACACGTCGGGACAATCTCCACTGTTAACACTTGGTCACCGTGATTATGAGGCTGATCATTTTGTCAAGCAAATGTGATATGATTGTAGGCAAGAAACCTTCTAGTCGAAGGGGTCTTTATGGTGAAAGCAACTGGACAGTTGATGACATTTTGAAGTCATTTGCAGCCTCAGAACCAGAGACAGATATGGCAATCAATCGACGTAAGTACTTTAATGAATCACCAAACCATTTTTCTCTGATTAGATGTACGGATGCACACATGATGAACAATTTGTCAATTGTGTTAACTAGGTCATAACCGAGACGATGTAGGAACAGGCAGAACAAGTGCACCTTTAACAACCATTTCCACATCTGAAAAGGTAACTTATTTTACCAATAAATTCTATGATAAAGGGAATTCTAGTCTCTAGATTAAGTATGACAAGCCTCAAAGTTTGTTGTAAAAATGGCATGGAATTCAAATATTTGAAAAGGGGCAACAGCTTATTTCAAAGGAGTGGTATCGATATGATGAACTTTTTTAACACGCGTTTCTCTTAAACCAGTCATCGAAACATTCTGAAAATTTTACACATCGTCAATTGAATGGTCATCTTTTGGATGGTAACACTATAATTTGAAATATACATACACTTTTCTCTATATTGTTTTAGAAAACACATCAGACACTTATTTTGTTCTTGGTATCATATGTTCGGAATGAAATGAAACATATATCCGAATCTTATTGGAACAAAACGACATAAAACAACGTGTTTAGGCCTCTCAATATTGTAATTGTACAGAGGAAATTTTGCTTGATTTTAAAAAAGTATCTTGTTAATGAAATAAAAGGTTTATCTTAATTTTTATCTCTTTTGGGGGTTTTGTTTTAAGTTTTTGCATAATTTTTTTTAATCAACCAAAATTTTCTTTGTATAATTATAATATTGAGATGGTTCAGAAAAACATTTGATTACATTCTCAAGAATTGGTAGAAAGGAACAAAAAACAATTGCACTAAATAACAAAAAATGTTAACAAAAACAGTTATAAAAAATATGTAACTTTTGCATTAAATTGTTGCCAATCTATCAACATTATATAAAGGACCGTGTTTTTTACAGAATGTTTTCAATAATTGGTTTAAAAGAAAAACATTGTTGAATTCAGTTCACCATATCGATACCTATCCTTTGTTCTTTTTGAAAATCATCTAAACAACACGCGGCCTTTAACTTATGCAGATGGTAGCATGCAGATGAATCAAAATCAAAGGGAGCTGTCGCAAATTAACCGATATGTATTTTAGGAGAAGGATGTAACAATAGCAGTTGAAATACCAATTGTGCATGAGTCACAATTTGATGTTGGACCACTCCAGGCGTCTGGTGAATCTTTAGGTAGTGTCACTGTGAGTTCGCTTGGTTTGACCGACTTTCGTGGCATGAAGCCTCGGGCTGGGATAGATAGAAATAAAAAACGTGATCGAAAGAAGATAAAGAGTACAAAAAGTAAGCATATGTAAACATGGTAAATGACCAACAAATAATTCAATGAAATAGTTACAAGTTGGAAATATCTTTGTACATATTCTATATAGTTTTCTAAATGCAAATCACATTTGTAAAATGGCCTCCTGGTGTTTCTTTGTAACACATCGTTGCACTTATATTTAGAATATTTTTGGGAACCTTTCTCCCTATGCGTTTAAATCTCCCCATGCGTTTAAATTTAGAGAATATTTTTCAAAAAACTGTAAGAACAACCTTTTAAATCTTTATTTGAACGTATTTGATTAAAACTGAACGCTCAGTCTTGAATCAGCGCATTTTTGGGGTTGACATTGAAACGGCGCAATAAATTCACTAGTGTAACTCGATCAACCATACACACCCCGGTGATCGTACAAAATGGATGGAGGGGGGGGATTAGGCGATTTCTGCAAGAAAACTCAACAAATTTGGAAGATTTAATTTTTCAAGAGAAAATTTACAACTGAATCGCCAGTTTTTTGCTATAAATCGCGCAACAATGGTCTACACGACATGTAATAAATAGGTATCACCTAATCCCCCCATTACGGAAAGCGAAAGGGGATATACCGCAGAATTTAAAATTCAATGGAGTTTTAACATGGGAGTGATAGCACACACCGCGGCCCAGTCAGATATATTTCTGCGCACTTTATTTATTTCATTCACTTTGCACAACGCGCCCCCTGTAATTCATTCAGTGCGCAATTAAAAATTGTTTATGAGTGATATCGCACACCGCGGCCCAGTAAGATCGAGCTGCGCACTTTATTTATTAACACACTCAAAATATCGCGCTGAAGCTTGTATATGCTGGCGCGATGTAATTATAGTTTTCTGTTGATAAATGCCCAACAAGAAACGGTAGCACAACGAATTCAACTTTTTTCGAAAGACTGCAGACTTGACCTGCGAAATTGTAATTTTGGATCACAGTGATGCCTCTAGAGAGGATATCTATGAGAATTACAGATTATAGTGCGCAGAATTATAAAGTCAAACTGTACGGAAAGCGAAAGGGGATATACCGCAGAATTTAAAATTCAATGGAGTTTTAACATGGGAGTGATATCACACACCGCGGCCCAGTCAGATATATTTCTGCGCACTTTATTTATTTAATTCACTTTGCACAACGCGCCCCTTGTAATTCATTCAGTGCGCAATTAAAAATTGTTTATGAGTGATATCGCACACCGCGGCCCAGTAAGATCGATTTCTGCGCACTTTATTTATTAACACACTCAAAATATCGCGCTGAAGCTTGTATATGCTGGCGCGATGTAATTATAGTTTTCTGTTAATAAATGCCCAACAAGAAAGGGTAGCACAACGAATTCAACTTTTTTCGAAAGACTGCAGACTTGACCTGCGAAATTGTAATTTTGGATCTCAAAATGGTAGTACACAGTGTACACTGCCATCTTTCAATAAAGTAACTACAGACCTTCGTATACAAAATACCAGAATGATTATGTAATACCTGTATACCATTTCTTCTGGGAGAAAGTTCCTATATGTATTCCATGGCCATAGCCAGGGGGCCTCACCCCCCCTCCCCCTTGCCAAATATTCGTTCAAAATCATGCAGTTTTTCACCATTCTCAGCACTTTTCGCATGATGTTTTTGCCATAACTGTCAAAAAGCCCCCCCCCCTCTTGGCAAAATCTCCCCCTTGGTAAAACCACTCCCCCAGGTTAATCCAGGATACGGGTCTGTATTCTTAGACGAGATTGTTCAAGAACATAAGGTAGACATAAGTGCCACCTGTTAAAAGCTAGGAGATATTTTCTAAGTTATTAAGTCATCAATCAGCAGACTGGTAATTGTTTCCCCCACCCACTTCGAACTCCATACACTAACATACTATTACAATTTTATCTGTGTTTATTTGACTGTAGAAGGTGTACATTCATAGCATTGAATTGCATTTCATTGCATTGTATTGTATTGTATAGTACATCATTGTATTGTATTGTACTGCATTTTATTGTATTGCACTGCATTGTATTGTATTGCACTGCATTGTATTCTATTGCATTATATTGTACTGTATTGCACTGTATTATATTATATTGCACTGCATTGTACTTTATTGCACTGCATTGTATTGTACTGCAGTGTACTACATTGCATTGCGCTGCATTGTATTGTATTGCACTGCATTATAATGTATTGCACTGTACCACATTGTGTTGCACTGCATTGTATTACACTGCATTGTTTTGAATTGCACTGCAATATATTGCACTGCACCATATTGTATTGCATTGCAGTGCACTGCATTGTATTATATTGCACTGTATTGTATTGCACAGTATTGTATTGCATTGTCTTGAATTACACTGTTTTGTATTTTATTGCACTACATTGTATTGTACTGCAGTGTACTGTATTCTATTGCACAGCATTGTTTTGTATTGTACTGTATTGTATTGCATTGTATTGAATTGCACTGTATTGTATTTTATTGCACTGCATTGCACTACATTGTATTGCACTGTATTGAACTGCGATGTATTGTATTGCACTGTATTGTATTGCACTGCACTGAACTGCGATGTATTGTATTGTACTGTATTGTATTCACTGCACTGTATTGAACTGCGATGTATTGTATTGAACTGCATTGTATTGCACTGTACCACATTGTATTGCACTGCATTGTATTGAAATGAACTACATTGCAACTGTATTGTATTTTATTGCACTGCATTGCACTACATTGTATTGCACTGTATTGAACTGCGATATATTGTATTGCACTGCATTGTATTGCACTGTGCCACATTGTGTTGCACTGTATTGTATTACACTGCATTGCTTTGTATTGCACAGCAATATATTGCACTGCACCATATTGTATTGCACTGCATTGAAATGTACTGCATTGTATTATATTGCACTGTATTGCATTGCACAGTATTGTATTGCATTGTCTTGATTTACACTGCATTTTATTACACTGCATTGTATTTTATTGCAGTGTAATGTATTGTATTGCACAGCATTGTATAGTTTTGCACTGTGTTGTATTGCATTGTATTGAATTGCACTGTATTGTATTTTATTGCACTGCATTGCACTACATTGTATTGCACTGTATTGAACTGCGATGTATTGTATTGCACTGCATTGTATTGCACTGTACCACATTGTATTGCACTGCATTGTATTGAAATGAACTACATTGTATTGCACTGCACGGCATTGTATTGCATTATATTGCACTGTATTGTATTGCATCGTATTGCACTGCATTTTATTGTATTATATTGCACTACATTGTATTGTATCATATTGCACTGCATTTTTTGCATCATATAACACTGCTTTGTATTGCATCATATTACACTACATTGTATTGCATCATATTGCACTGCATTGTATTGCATCATATTGCTCTGCATTGTATTGCATCATATTGCACCGCATTGTATTACATCATATTGCACCACATTGTATTGCATCATATTGCACTGCATTGTATAACATCATATTGCACTGCATTGTATTGCATCATATTCCGTATTTACCATTTTGTTACAGTTTTATTACATAAAATGTTATTTATAAGATTATAATTTTCAAACATTGAAAATATTTTATACAATATCAATTAAAAGATATGAAATGGCCCAAAATAATATATTTTCAATGGAACCCTTTGCAAGGGTCACTTCAACATAACGCCACGTATAATCTGTATGCATACGCCCTCTTTTAATGAACATTATCTTTGAAACCATATTAGAATCGAATCTGATAAAAGTGCGCATGTCCTGGATGTGCTGCGCGCTAGAATCGGGAAATCTCAAAGTTCTCCTCGTTAGAGCCATCAATATTATCCAAAATTGTCATTTCGCTGGTTCACTCCGCAGTCTTTCGAAAAAAATCAAATTCGTGGTGCCACGAATTTTTATTCGTTATTTATTCACAGATAATCATTTTTTCATCGCGCACTGAATGCCGGAATTTCTGCGCACTTTATTGTAATTAACTTTGCACAACGCGGCCCCTGTAATTCATTCAGTGCGCGATGAAATCTATCTGACTGGGCCGCGGTGTGTGATATCACTCCCATGTTAAAACTCCATTCGATTTTGAATTATGCGCATGTCCCCTATAGCTTTCCGTACAAACTGACCTCAAAATGGTAGTACACAGTGTACACTGCCATCTTTCAATAAAGTAACTACAGACCTTCGTATACAAAATACCAGAATGATTGATGTAATACCTGTATACCATTTCTTCTGGGAGAAGGAAAGTTCCTATATGTATTCCATGGCCGTAGCCAGGGGGCCTCACCCCCCTCCCCCTTGCCAAATATTCGTTCAAAATCATGCAGTTTTTCACCATTCTTAGTAGCACTTTTCGCATGATTTTTTTGCCATAACTGTCAAAAAGCTCCCCCCTCTTGGCCAAATCTCCCCCTTGGTAAAACCACTCCCCCAGGTTAATCCAGGATACGGGTCTGTATTCTTAGACGAGATTATTCAAGAACATAAGGTAGACATAAGTGCCACCTGTTAAAAGCTAGGAGATCTTTTCTAAGTTATTAAGTCATCAATCAGCAGACTGGTAATTGTATCCCCCACCCACTTCAAACTCCATACACTAACATACTATTACAATTTTATCTGTGTTTATTTGACTGTAGAAGGTGTACATTCATAGCATTGAATTGCATTTCATTGCATTGTATTGTATTGTATAGTACATCATTGTATTGTATTGTACTGCATTTTATTGTATTGCACTGCATTGTATTCTATTGTACTGCATTGTATTCTATTGCATTATATTGTACTGTATTGCACTGTATTATATTATATTGCACTGCATTGTACTTTATTGCACTGCATTTTATTGTACTGCAGTGTACTACATTGTATTGCGCTGCATTGTATTGTATTGCACTGCATTATAATGTATTGCATTGTACCACATTGTGTTGCACTGCATTGTATTACACTGCATTGTTTTGAATTGCACTGCAATATATTGCACTGCACCATATTGTATTGCACTGCATTGCAATGCACTGCATTGTATTATATTGCACTGTATTGTATTGCACTGCATTGTATTGCACTGTACCACATTGTATTGCACTGCATTGTATTGAAATGAACTACATTGTATTGCACTGCACGGCATTGTTTTGCATTGTATTGCATTGCACTGCATTGTATTGCATTATATTGCACTGTATTGTATTGCATCGTATTGCACTGCATTTTATTGTATTATATTGCACTACATTGTATTGTATCATATTGCACTGCATTTTTTGCATCATATAACACTGCTTTGTATTGCATCATATTACACTACATTGTATTGCATCATATTGCACTGCATTGTATTGCATCATATTGCTCTGCATTGTATTGCATCATATTGTACCGCATTGTATTACATCAAATTGCACCACATTGTATTGCATCATATTGCACTGCATTGTATAACATCATATTGCACTGCATTGTATTGCATCATATTCCGTATTTACCATTTCGTTACAGTTTTATTACATAAAATGTTATTTATAAGATTATAATTTTCAAACATTGAAAATATTTTACACAATATCAATTAAAAGATATGAAATGGCCCAAAATAATATATTTTCAATGGAACCCTTTGCAAGGGTCACTTCAACATAACGCAACGTGTAATCTGTATGCATACGCCCTCTTTTAATGAACATTATCTTTGAAACCATATTAGAATCGAATCTGATAAAAGTGCGCGTGTCCTGGATGTGCTGCGCGCTAGAATCGGGAAATCTCAAAGTTCTCCTCGTTAGAGCCATCAATATTATCCAGAATTGTCATTTCGCTGGTTCACTCCGCAGTCTTTCGAAAAAAATCAAATTCGTGGTGCCACGAATTATTTTTATTCGTTTTTTATTCACAGATAATCATTTTTTCATCGCGCACTGAATGCCGGAATTTCTGCCCACTTTATTTTAATTAACTTTGCACAACGCGGCCCCTGTAATTCATTCAGTGCGCGATGAAATCTATCTGACTGGGCCGCGGTGTGTGATATCACTCCCATGTTAAAACTCCATTCGATTTTGAATTATGCGCATGTCCCCTATCGCTTTCCGTACCCCATCCATCCCCCGGGCGTGATACAATAATTCAATGATACAATGATTTTGATCAATCATCTGTAATTGGTTGAGCTGATACTGATTTAATTACTCAGATGCGAGTTGGTAGTTACCAGTTTCGCCACCAGGTGGCTGATTCGGGGGAATTAACATGGCAGGGTATTACAAAATTCCCTTAAACTTGAATATGCATCAGTTTTAGTGGTTCACTTTTCATATTACCCTTATGTATCTGATAGTTATACAAATTAAAATATGTCCAGTAAAAGAAAATATTATCTGCCCAACACAAGAAAAGATATTTCACTTTTTGTGGTTTTACAACATGGGTGCTATCAAGATTATTTCTACTCGCATCTGGGATATTAGTGTTAGGGCAAAAACGCATAATATTCAAATATATGAGCAACGGTGTGATAATCAAATTTTTTCAAATAGTTTTCTGAGATCCTTGGGGGAAACGATTAATGTCAAAACACCGTAATAAAACATAGTCTAAAATTGGGCGTGGCACTTCTCCATTAAATACATATGATAACGATTTTCACCTTTTCCTATACTCTTTATGTATGCAGTTAGTTTTGCTATATAACAACACATTTTGAAAAAAAGTTAGGTTTCAGTGTCCATCACATCTTTGGCCAAGGATACCCCTAACTCTTTAATTTGATACTTTGTATTTTTAGCAAAGAAAAGTGGAAAAACTGCTAGTATTTTGGAACTTCTGCAAGGATCCAAAACAATGCAAGAACGCAAAAGACAACGTGAAGAAAAATTGAAAGTATGGTTTTGCGTTGTGTTCCTTATTAATATGAAATTATGAACATATTAGTGTTGACATTTAGAGTAATTCTCATGAAAGAGACGCCCCATGCATGGAGTGTACTACTAGTATCTAGCATTTTTGTAGCATTTTTTATTTAACATGTGTAAAGGTAGACATGTCACAGACTAAGAAAAGATCGCTTTTCAAATCATTTTTTTCATTTTTTTCTTTTTCTATGAATGATATCAAATTTTCAACGATTGTATTATTTAGAGCAATATATTGGGCACATTTTCTGAAAAATTCAAAAGATTCTGTTCATTGACCTTTCCTACCTCCTACTTTTAGCTATTTTTCAGTCACATTTTCAGAGGGCTGAAAAGGTTATTTCATCATGTTTAGGGTCATTCTGATCATGAACATTGTGATCCTGGTCCTGTAAATGAAATGTGGAACTAGTTGAATTGAATGGAGGTCGAAACGGAACTCTGTTATCTTTGTTCAAAAATGTCTAAAAATGCAAAAAAAATTGTCACTTCCTACTTTGTCATTTCCTGTTAAGTATCATGGCACCTTAACAACATATTCAAGTTAACATTTCAATGTGCTTGGTAATTTTTGAGAGTTAATTATGTATGTTTACATGGTTAATTAGAGCCATTCTCTCAAAGTCCTTTTATTTGCCTCGAGTGCCTTGATTTCCCGTTACTATGGCAACCATTTCTTATTTGATATTTCTGTTAAACTATTTGCTGAATCAATAAGACATTCTATGCTCCAGATTCTGTGAAAATTTCATTAGAATATATTGAACAATAGTAGTCTAATAGGCACAGCGAC